TAGGTTACACAAGCTTTTATGTACCTAGTTAATGTGAGTAAGTGTTGTTCCTGGCCTGTTCCTGGCCGCATCTTTGGTTATGATCTAAGTTGAGATTCCCAACCTCCCCAACCTGTTTTGGCCCCTTTTTTATCTCGACTGGGTCAACTTTTTATTTCCCATGTCCGTATATTTTTCTCCTTTCCCACTCCCTTAGTGAGAGAGCTTCAAGATTTTATCCAATGGGCAGAATACAGTGGCCTCTCTCCTTCTTGAGTGTTGGACGGGCCCTACTAACATCAGTTATGTTTAATTTACATTGTGTTCATGTTGAGTTTGTTTCGAGGGTTCATTCCCTCCTCTCTCATTTTATTCATCCATAAATTTTTAAGTATAAATTTTATAATCATTAGATTTTTATGGCATGGGGCACATTTTGTAGGTCCCCCTTGAGAGAATGTAGTATTGTGGTGTATGGAGGATTGAGTGGTGATGGATGAGTTTTTAGGGTGAATGTGAAAATTGTAATGAGTGAATGGATCATGAATCGGATTAGCTAGGTATCAGATAGTGTCAACCAGCCTCAACCCCTCCCCATTTTGGCCATGTGCTGTAATTTTATTTTATATACAATAAATCTCAATATGCTGCCTAAGTAGTCCACCACTAGCAGTGGTTTATCTACTTCACATCGCTGGCGAGTATTGCATTTTGCTGATGTTATAAAGATTACCATTTCATTTCCAACCTCCGTTTTGGTTATTCCTCATTCAGTAACCTTTTCTCGGTTACAACACTTTTTCAGGCAGCAAATTATGGAATGCTGAAGAAGCAATCGTCTCCCTCTCTCTGTGTTGTCACTGAGAGTTTCAATTCTCCCACTTTGCTATTTCATCAGGGCACTCTGCTCAATTTATCTACAAGTCTGGAATAAGGCCCAAGTCAGTTCTTCATGGCAGCAAATCTCATGGGAATCAGCAAAGCTATCATCTCTTCTTGGCGTAATGGAAGCATGTGTCTGCCTCAAATGCTACTCTCTCTCTGTAATTCCCCTCTGATTTAACACTTTCCCTCTCCCAACATCAGTGTGGAGTTCAACGTGATTCAGGGTTCCAAAATTTTCTAAATATCCCATCAGAACTCTCTGCTGACAGTGTTCTGGAAGCAATTTGCATGTCCAAATTTAGGGAATCCTTCCTCCGGAGAGTAGAGGTAGCAGTTACAGATTTCCCATCTTGGATAATTAATATTTCTTTCCTTGTTTTCGGAGAAGGTTTTGACAAAACTGTTATCTTACCAATTGACCAAATTCTTCATCATTTAAATTCTGTATTGTATTTAAAGAGAACTTATTCCTTTAGCAATACATGCATCTTTCACCCCTATCAACAAGTAACATAGAATCATTTCTTTACCCTCTTTACCTACTTGTAGTCATGAAATTCTTATCTGTGACTAGCTTGGTGGTCTCTGTTCAAAACAAAAAAAAAATACCAGCCCCAGTCACTTCGCAGATGTTATCGTACTTACCTCACATCGTCCCTTGGGCTTCATTTTAACCAGATGCCTAAGTGGATTTCAGTACAAACTCCTAGTGAGGTCCTTTACTCACAGAATGAGAAAACAAGATAAAAGTATATTTCTTTTGTTTTCAGTATGTCCCTCAATGTATCTACTACCTTCTTTGTCATGGTGTTCACACTTAATTTAAGCCTTTTTCTTTCTTCAAATTATTATCATTCTTACAGTGTCACATAAAAGAGGAATAGCTCAACAAAAAATGTGCTGAAATAGAAAGAATGGGTATCACAAATAAAGCAGACATGTATAAAAAAAAATATAAGAGAACTTACAGGACAAAAGACATGCTCATCAACAGGATGCATAAAATCCAAAGACGGAATGCTGATATTAAAGAAAGAAAACATACTCCAGATATGGAATGAATATATTGGAGAACTCTTTCATGATGAAAGAGAACAACCAGCAATACATAAATATTGATGGACAGGAAATATTAAAATCTGAAGTGGAACCTGCATTAGCCAAATTGAACAGAAACAAAGCCACAGAGCCGGACGGAATTGTAATAGAGATGGTGGAGGCCTCAGACAATTTTGGTAAAAACAAGATCTCAGAAATAAATGGGATCTACAACAGTGATGATATAACTAAGCAGATCTATTTTCATTACAGTGCCTAAGAAGCCAAGTGAAAATAAATGCAAACTCTACGGGACAATCAGCTAAATGAGCTATATAATGAAACTTATCCTCCAAACTGATGAAAAGAGCACACAGCAGAATCAGACCAGGACAAGAACAGTGTGGATTAGTCAAAGACACTGGAACAAGGAATGCGATATGTATGCTCATAGTGTTATCAGAAAGAGCAGTATAAATGCAGAACATGTACCTGTGTTTGATAAAGTATGCCACAAAGATCTGTGGGAGCTGATTAGCAACCTTGATATATCTGGGAAGAATACTAGAATCATCAAGAACCTATAGTGGTAGCAAACTGTCTGCATACAGATAGAAAATGAGTTCAGCAGATATAAAATACAAAGGCATGTAAGACAAGGACATGCCTTTTCACCAAATTTATTCAACTCCTACAGCAAGACAATTCTGAGAGATCTAAAAGTCCTACCAGGATTCATAAATGATGGCCACAATGTTAACAACATAAGGTATGCAGATGACACAGTGTTGATAGCAGACACAGAAAGAAAACTAGAAACACTTCTAGTGAAGGAAAACAAGAAGAAAGGATTAAACATCAATTATAAGAAAACAGAATGCATGGTTGTTAGCAAAAGAATGAGCCCAAAGTGCAAGTTGCAAATGCTAAAATCAAACAAGTGCATAAATTTAAATATCTGAAGTTTTTTTTTAAAAGAGGACAGAAAGTGTGACACTGAAATATGAATGTGTATTAAGATAGCCAAGGAAGCATTCCAAAAGCTAAGCAGAGTGCTTAGAAATAAAAAAAATCTTGCTAGAAACAAGGAGAAGAGCACTAAACTGCTATGTGATATCTATGTGACACTGGTAGTATGAAACTAGGGTTAAAAGGTTTCATGTGGAAACCCCATATAGGAATTGGAAAGTTAAAAATGTTAGGATGAAAACATGAATTGAAATATGAAGCAAAGGAAAAAAGTGAATTTTTTTTACCTGATAAACTGATGGGCAATTAGAATTATGAATCCACAAAGCCTAAATGTAGACAGTCCAAAATATATATTTCTGTCACATCTGGTCTGTTGCTTCTGCTGTGTATTTAGAGATTCTTGATAAAATCCAAAGAATCTGTAATGTTATCAGTCCTGATTGGGCATCTTGGCTTCAGTGACTTTCCCACTGCTTAATGTAGCTTCCCTGTGTCTTTTCTAGAAATACTTTCATGGTAATTGTTCTGACATGCTTTCTTTTTTGATACATCAACTTTATGAATTCAAGTGCAGTACTAGATTGGTAGCTAGGTCACATTTTACTGTTGAAATTGTTAGATGTAACTAAGTTTTATGCTAATATTTTTTTCTCTTGCACTTCTCACTCATGGAACTCTTCTAGCTTCTTGATTTCCTATCAACTTTAATCTTCAAAAATCTAAATACAATGTCAATTGTCATCTTCTGTCTTCTTGAATACTGTTCTTTTATTTTCCTCTCTCAATGTTTTTTTTCTCAAATTATTTCACTCCGTAATCTTAGTGGCTTGTTTAGGGGTGAAATGAAAAAAAAAAAAAAAAAAAAAAAAAAATCAATGTTATTACACTACCCAGATAGTTAAATTTCTGTACAAACTTAATTTTGAAATCCCAATATGCAGCTCATATACTGAACTGTCTCTTTTTCTAATAAGTTTCCTTTCTGAGTCTGCCATGAACAGTGTTACCTATGTATTATTCTATGTTAAGATTATGGCCACTGATAATAGATCTTGTAAGTCTCTCTCAATCATAGGATTATCTCAATGCAGTGGAATAGCTAGAGGGAAAAGGGGGCTGTTAGTGAAAAAAAATTAAATAAGTGAACCATTTTTTTTTTTAATCTTATAATAATAAATTATGAAATAAAAGTACAATTGTAAATACCATATTAACAGAAACACAGAAGAAACCTGGCATCAGACGGGCATTAGATTCTGAGAAATAGATAAAAATATTAAAAATTTATAGGTGTACGAATAATTTTGTTGTTGACGAATATATATATATATATATATATATATATGTGTATATACATGCACACTTTAAGGGGTTAATGTGCATTGTAGTATTGTATCCCATCTGGGAAGAGGTGGCAAGATTGAAGGCCACACCAGGTGCCAAAAACACTAGCTACACCACCGTCTCAATGTAAATATTAAATAAATTTGATGAGAAACATATTGTCTTACTCCTACCTCAGTGTATTTATTGAACTTGTGTTCTATCAGTAGACTCAACTGTTACAAAGGATCTGTTCAGCAGACAACAAGCCTATGAAATGAAGTCAGGATAACAGAACAACATTAGAAGATAAGGCAACTGATACAATTAGTGTGAATGTCAAAATCTACTAAAGCAAACATAGAAATGAACACTATATGAAAGTCTTTAATTAAAAAGATTAAATCAAATTCAAAAATTCTACTACCTGATTAAACTAGTGTAAAGTCATATCCAGTTAAAGAAACAAACAAGCACCATTACTTTTAAGGCTACAATTTCTAACTAAATTATCCTATAGGACACATTGCCTAATGAATAAAGGGATCAGTTAAGCAAATAAAATCATCTCATAGTCTTGAATTCAATCAGGTAGTGAGAAAGTTTTATACTTTGGTTCAAGTGATAGAAATAGAATAGAAATGACATACAAGATATCCTTAGATGGTTACCAACTATGACGTATCTGAAGGAGGTCAAAGAGAAAAACCAAAATATGATAACAACCAAGATGAGGAGACAAGTTTGAACAAAGACATGTACAAAAAAAGATAATTCCTCATCTTTCAAAAAAACACAATTACCTTTTCTTCTTTTTTTAACATTTCTTCTTTTTCACGAAATTTCTTTTCCTGATCTTCTAGCTCATGTTTTTTCAACTGCAATTCTTCCATTTCTTCTGTTGGCACCTAAATGCAACAAGAAAAACACTGAATAACATTTCAGCAGAGATCTTTTGGAGAGAAACAGGGACGGGATATCAAATGTGTAAGAAAAAATGAAGTTAGTGCTATTTAATGAAAAACTTCTCTCTCCCAAATGCTTACATAAGGTTTAGCAGCAACTATTAATGAATCAAGAAAAATGCCTCTACTTATAATACTTAGTAATAATGTTAAAGAAAAAAAAAAAGATTACAATCACACAACCATTTAATAAATACAATGAAAATAGATTTAATATTTATTTCATTAACGAATCCTTACCAACTCCCTGAGACTCATAAAAATCACAAAAACAAATCATTAGCAACAGGAAACTATTTGAAAAAGATATTTACACTTACATTATCTGCATCTTTTAGTCTCTCTTCAAGATGTTGCTTCTCAAGTTCAAGTCTATATAGAAAATAAAAATAAAAATTAGTAAAAACAAACAATTCTTAATGCAGCATAAAACAAAACATCAGAAAGGTAACATTAACTGCAGTACAATAGTCATATGCACATAAACTAACCTGATTTTTCTGAGCCAACTTTAGAGATTGAACATAGTTTACATAATTTCTTTTTGAAAAAAATGGTGCAAGAGTTTTGTTAATAATGACAGCCAAAAAACTTTAGATTGTAAATTTGACTCAAGATTACAAACTTTTTAGCATCATTTTGTCAGATTATAAAAGTACCAATACACTTATGGATGTTAAAATCAATGTCAGAAGTGGAATTGTTTCAATTTAAAAACTTTTTAGCTTTGTTTCAATTCTAATTCCTATTAGGTTAGCTTGGGCTTAAGCAAAAACAAATTCAGTGTTTTTTTTTTTTTAATCTACTGTATTTAGTGAACGACAATCAAAAATATGACAGTAGTTTGATACAAATTGAGTAAATAAACCAAATAAGTCTTTAAAATTCATTCAATGAAGATAAATGCATTGTCAAAGAAAAAAAATAAAATCCTGTTTCTTTTTCGCATTTCAATATTAACACAATGGCAATGTTACTCTTTTATATTACTGCTTTGTGCTATTATTTTCACTTTATTTTTTAACATGTCCATTTTAATCACTATTATTGAATTTAGTACCACTTTTAAAATATTTAAATCCTACTTTGCAAATACCTTTAGCCCTAAAGAATATATGAGAAAACTAAAAATTTGAATTAAGATTTAATCATGTCATTCATCCAGCAAGATATTCTACCCAATAAGAAAAAATAATAATGACAGGACTGTATCTTATCCTCTGCCCCATGTTTATAAATTGAAAAGCAGGATAAATATTTCAGAAGTTTTAAATAAAGTTCTTTTTTAATTTATTTTCGGATAAGCAAAAAAATCTCTAAAATATTTTTTATGCCAATTATTTTGAAGTCTGTTGTATGCAGTTATATTTTATAATAAAAAAACATATGTAAATGAAATTAGTAGCTAAAACATTCAATTTTGCTTTTATTCTAATTTGTTTAGCATCTACTCCCAAAAATCATTAAATAAAGCAAAGAAAATTAAATTCTTCCATTCAAGCCTTTTTGTTGCACACAAAAAAAAAAATCCAATTTAAAATGATTTTCTTTAAAGTTAATAAATTCATTATTAAAATAAAATCAACTTCATCATTATCCTTTGACCACTCTATGGTTAGTTAGAACTCCATTGAAAATCCCTTTCCACATTGTTCGGTCCTGTATTGCTGTCCCCAGATCCCCAATGTCCTGTGCTATGATGTCTGGGAAAGTCAATTTTTCATGAGAAGACACTTCCAGAAGTATGCCATAGGACTTAGAATATGTTTATGAACAATACTTAAAAAAAAAAACTTTTTTTTGCTAAATGTTATGAATAAAAAAAATTAGAGTTATGCTTCAGCTGTACAGGCCTACACAGAAGTGACAGTCTCAAATGCAATGAATACATGCAAAGATGCTCTCCTCCAATGTTGCTGTATTGTTTTCTTTCCGTCAAGCATGCTTATGCCCTGCAGCAAGCTTCTGCTCTAATCGCTCCAGCACACAGTGTAAATCACATCTCTAGCATGAGCGATTGTTGCTCCCAATGTCCATCACCCTCCTGTCTCTTTTGCAGACATCCATGAAACAAAGATTAGGTTGCTCTTGTGCCCTCTTTCCGGTGGCCAGTTCCCTGTACAAGAGGACCTTCAGAATCCTCCTATCCAGCATATGTGTCCAAGCCAGCTGAGCTAGCACTGTTGAAGAAGGGCATATAAGCTGAGTAACTGGGTACGGGGGAGAACTATGGCATTGGTGAACTGGTTGAACCAATTGATGCCCAGAATGCATCTCAAACAGCGAACATGCTGCGGTATTGCTCCTGTCTAGTGTAGATGCTCCAAGTCTTGCTGAGTAGAGAAGTATGTTGATGATGTGTCCTCTCCAGGATACAGGACTGGACAGAGATTTACAACAGCTTTCTGATTGGTCACGCCATTCAGTGGAGGGAAGAACATTAGCATAGATTCTAGTCCTTAAAGTAGATTTTTTCTAACTACTTTTTGGTAATTTTTCTTCGGCAGATCGCACACAAAACACAAACTCTTTTTCAAGGTAGCTGATTATCTCTTTCACTACAAGACATAGAACAAAAACTATCTACTCCTGTAAATAAAATAACTTTTTGATGTACAATATTTTTTTTTTTTACAACAAACTGGGTAGCATTTATATAATCTGCAACATGAAAGAAAATCAAACTTTGTAAAGATTATAATGAGATGATATTTGAATAAATTTTATGTAGATGAAAGCATTGTGTGAAAATAACTTTAGAGTAAAGCTATGTCACAATGTACATAATTAAATATTGGCAGATGGTTATTTGATAAGTAGGCATACCAAACTAAAATTTTACTTTCAATGTATCTAAAAACTTCATAAAGAGAGCTAAAAAAAAAGAAAAAAAGAAAAAAAAAAGTACCAAATTTATCTTGGTAGTTCAGTTAGCAATCAAATTATGACCATTCAAATTTGGTCAGTTTTCCATTTCATATGCTATTGAACTAAAAGCCAATTTCAACAGGGTACAACTAAAGATGCAGGCTTCAAACAATTAAAAAAAATTATTTATAAATTATGGTCTTGATGTAAAAGAAATATAATACTAATGGAATCAATAATTATTACATCAGACCAGCCTAAACACTGAAGAAAACTGCTTTCTCAAAAAATCAAAAGTTAAAATGACACAGAAGGGCAATTCCAACTGCTCATATAAGTCTCATTTCAACAATTAATGTCTTGCAACTTCTAGCTCTGATTCATAACATGTTGATTTCAATCCTACTGGGAATGTTTATTTATTGTGAAAAAAATTACACAAATGTGGCACAAGGCCAAAGGGGAAGTGATGTAAAGCTGGTCAACATTAACTATCCTAGGCCTAACTAATCAGATTTGTGACCTATTCATTCATTATAATTTGCTCATTCAGCACAAGAACATCTCTCACCATTCAATCCTACATGTACCACAATACCACATTTTCAAAGGGAACCTCGAAAAAAAAAAAAAAAAAAAAAAAAATTATGCAAAAATCTCAAAAGTTCAGATGCCTGTTTTTTCTTTTTTTTTTTTTTTTAAATCTTTCTCTTAAAAATATACAAAAAATTTAATGAACCCAAAGACAAAATTAAAATACCAAAAACATTCAAACTAAAAATAACATATGTTAGTAAGACCTGTCCACCCCACAAAAAATAAGAGTGGCTGCATTATTCTACCTTGGACGGAATCAAGAAGCTCACTAACTGAGAGGGAAGGATAAAAATAAACAACAGAGCGAGAAAATCAAAGACTGACCCAGGCAAGATACAACAAAGGAGATAAAAACAAACAGGGGAGATTGGGAATCTCAACATGGATCATAACAAAAGAGAATGCCGGGAACTGGCCAGGTACAACACTTACATTAACTAAATAGAGTATACAGCAGACATTATCACTCATGCACCTCTTAAAACAAATCTCTCAGTGCCTCAGGTTTAGCAAGAAAGAAATTGCAACAAATTAACAATTGTACGATTTTTTTTCACATTTCATTAATCCCTGATAAATTTTCAGCAGTGTCATTTCTTTTGTTGGCATATCACATCTCTTTCAGCAGGATTACTTGACATTGAAGTATGATCAAATTTTCACCCAGACCAACACTGAATTCCTCATGAATAATCACAACAAACTAAACAACACATCCTGTTGAAGGAAAAGCTGCCTGTATCAAAGTATAGCCATACCTGGTATGGTATTTGACAGCTGGACAAGATATGCGCAAAACTCTATTCATGGTTTCTACTACCATTTGTAAACTAGATCCCCACAAGGCTTGTGTATTTGATAGTTTCCCTGCAATTGTCCTAAAGAAATGTGCTCCTGTTCTCTCCAAACTTTACAATAAATGTGTCACTACTTCTTGCTTTTCAACTTGTTGAAGTCCTCCTCTGTAGCTCTTTAAAAACTATTTAACCTAGGTACCTCCACGAAATCGCTAAAAAAAGAGCATAGCTTGATGAAAAAGACGCCAACCTTGCCGAAAACAAAATTTTATTGTCTAAATGCTTATGTTATTATTAAGAGGAAAGACCAAAGTTTTTTTTTAATTAATTTTTAAAAAATTTTCCTTCTTTTTAGAACATTCTAAATTTTGATTACAAAAACATTGTTTCTATTTGTATCATGGAACTAGTAAATAACAGACAATTTTTATACGTTTTTTTGGTATGACACACATTAATTTGAAAAAATCGTGCAAAAATAGAAATAATTATCGGATGTTAATGAAACTTTCAGGAACTATTCACAGATGATCGAAATTATTATAAATATGTTTTTTTATGAAAGTCATGGTAGAAATATTTTTTAAAAATATTTATTACCCCCCATAACTCATTTTATGAAAACGCTAGAAATTGATCGCATCGGTTTTAGTGATTACAATAATTAAAAGCACAGGGCTTTGAGGAATGCAAATCATGTTTTTTTTTGTTTTTAATTGGATACGCAAGTACCTGAAAATCAGCTCTGAATTGTAACATACAAAACTCAATAAAACAAAGATATTATTTAATTTCAAATGCTTTTATTTGCTTTTAGTTGTTTTTATGAATCTGAACAATATTTTCTGAAAGCAAAAAAAATTTTTCGATGAAAAATCAATTTTTAATACAATTATTTGTTATTTGATTAATTATAATAGATTTTACATTTAAGTTGTTAAAATATTATAAAATTAGTTAAAAGCCGCATCGGCTTTCATAAGTGTTCTTTTTTTAGCGCGTTGTAAATTGTATCATTTTGACTAATCAGAAGATCCCCAGTAATTAAGAAATGTAATTTTGTGCTTATAATCGAGCTGTAATTATAAAATACGGAAGACCAACCAGAATATAATTAAGTTTGCGTTATTTGAGTTAAGCATTGTTCTCCGCTGTTAAGGCCTTTACTTTTGTAAACACGTGTGGAGAAGTTAATTTGATTTTTCAATTTCAACTGAGAAGGGTACCTACAAGTATCAGTATCATCTTATGAAATTTATATGATCTTATTTTTATATTAATCTCAGTTACGACATTTTTCCATAAATGAAATATCAAAATTAATAATAAAATGAATGCAAATACAAATAACAGTAGAATGTAATAAATGTACATAAAATTATAGTATTTTATGTACAATTCTGATAAAATTTCATAAGTAAGGTACCTACAAATTAACTAGATACCTTTCTTAAGAAATATGAAATTTAATGTCACTCTTAACAGTTTTATTTTAATTTCTTTACAATATATTTCCCATAAAGCATCATAAACGTAAAGGTGAAAGCTAAGTACAAAAAAAAAAAAAAATAGACCACTGAAAGTTTTCATTAAAAATAACGGGGTAAATAATTTGTTCACATAAATGTAAATTATTTCACTTTTCTCCTTCCGTAGAACAAATTAGCCTCATGGAATTCGTAAATATATCATTCATCACATGTCAAGAGATGCAAAGGTTTATGACCTACTGTGTTTTATTTTCAAATTACATCTTTTTGGCACAAAAGCTAAGTTAAGTTTGGTTCAAAATATTTTAAATAAACATTATAATTTCTGATTTTCTTAAAATAAGTTTTGAAAAAATGATAATTGATATTTAAAAAAAATTTCAAAGTCAGATTTCCAGTTTTTTAAAATGGAAAAAAATGGTCAATTTTGCTGACTCAAAAAAACTAGATTTTAACGAAAATTTCGGACGTGCTAGAACGATTAAAAAATGGAAAAAAATACCCCAAAAATACTTTGACCTTTCCTCTTAATAATAACAAAATTTAGACGATAAAATTTTGTTTTTGTCAAGTTTGGCGTCTTTTTCATCATACTATGCTCTTTTTTTAGCAATCTCGTGGAGGTACCTAATTTAACCTATCAAATTAACATCCTATTAGTCTCTTACCACATTTTAGCAAACTGTTAGATGCTCTAATCAACACTAAATTGGTTAAGCATCTTACTTCACACAACTTCCTTTCGGAAGGACAATACGGTTTCTGTTTCTCAAGGTCTACCACCGATGTGTTAATGGCTCTGTCTATCAAGTGTTAGATAAGAACTTGAAAACTCAGCCTGTAACCCTAGATATCTCAAAGGTGTTTGACAGGGTTAGGTATACTAGCCTTCTCCACAAGTTCAAGGGCTAGTGTTTTAGGACAAATCCAATTGTTCATAACAAATCGTGTAATGAAGGCCATGTTGAATAGATATACTTCTAGTTTATTTCATATTAATGCAGGACTCCCTCAGGGCACTATCTTTCTGATCTTCATCAACAACCTTCCTAATATCATCCTTTCTCAACTAGGTATCTATACATATGAAAACTGCCAGTGCAACACATCCGGCAAAGTAAAAACTGGTAACTTGTCAAAAAGGGCAAAGTAAAAACTGGTAACTTGTCAAAAAGGGCAAAGTAAAAACTGGTAACTTGTCAAAAAGGGCAAAGTAAAAACTGGTAACTTGTCAAAAAGGGCAAAGTAAAAACTGGTAACTTGTCAAAAAGGGCAAAGTAAAAACTGGTAACTTGTCAAAAAGGGCAAAGTAAAAACTGGTAACTTGTCAAAAAGGGCAAAGTAAAAACTGGTAACTTGTCAAAAGGGCAAAAAGTAAAACTGGTAACTTGTCAAAAGGGCAAAGTAAAAACTGGTAACTTGTCAAAAAGGGCAAAAGTAAAAACTGGTAACTTGTCAAAAGGGCAAAGTAAAAACTGGTAACTTGTCAAAAAGGGCAAAGTAAAAACTGGTAACTTGTCAAAAAGGGCAAAGTAAAAACTGGTAACTTGTCAAAAAACCAATCAGTGGTTAGCTGAGACAAAGAATAGCTTGTAAATTTGAATGCTTTCAAAACAAAATTGCTTTTTATTAAATCACCACAGAAAAACTCTCCTGCCTGTCATCAACAGGGCTGATGCTAACTTCCAGGAGAGCAACACTGAGCCTTCTTGGGCTCACATTTTCCAGACATGAAGTGAAGTAATCATATTGAAACAACTGCTAAATCTGCTGCTAGGAAAGTTGATTCACTGTGTCATGCCAGACAATTTTTACTGTCAGAATCCCTTTTGCATCATTTATAAATCTACCATTCATCCATGCATTGAATACTATTGCTATATCTGGTTGGATGGTCTACTATATATCTTGAGATTCTTGACAAAATTCAAAGAATGGTCTTTAACGTAACTGATCTTGACCTGGCATCACAAGTTCAGTCACTTACCCACTGACAGGATGTAGCTTCCCTCTGTCTTTTCTACAAATATTTTCATGGCAATTATTCTGATGATCTGTTCTCAGTGCCTCAACTGCATGAATTTAAGTGTGGTACTAGGTCTCATTTTACAGTTAAACTAGCTAGATACAACCATCAGTTCTATTCTAATAGTTTTTTTTCACATTTCTTGCCGTGAAACTCCCTTCCAATTTCTTGCTTCCCTGCCAACTACAATCTTCAAAAATTTAAATGCAACATCAATCACCATGTTCTGCTTTCCTAAATCCTGTTCCTTTATTGTCCTCACTAACGTTTTCTCATTCTCTTCCACTACCTGCTTACCTAGTGGCCTTGCTTAGGGTGAAATGATTAAAAGTTTCAAAGCTGGCAATTTCATAGTGTTTTTTAAATTAGTTGGACTCCACATATATCAAAACCGTCCCATCTTAAAAAAAGTACATTTGTTAATTTGATGGGTTTTTGGTTTGTTTGTTTTACCAAAAATTCTAAGTTAAAAACTTCTAGTGGATAAAATACCATAAAAAATACAATTAAAAAAAAAATTGAAAATTGCACCTTCTTGTAGCACAAGGTTTCATCTTTAACAATGTTGATTCCATATCTCTGCATCCATACAACTCAAGTAGGACACAAATCAAAAAGAGGTTATACTGTGTATATTTTGAACAAAATCATTGTTCAAAGCATCAAAATTTGTATTGTGTGAATGAACAACACCAGCAGAACTCCATTATGGATATTATGAAAGTTCAAATTTTTTGCTTATATTTTCTTTATACAGTTTTAAAATGCATTATTAAAGTAATTATTCATTTTATTTTGTCCAAACCCTTACTTTTGCCTTGGCTGTTTTTATGCATTTTCTTAAAAAAAAAAAAAAAAATCATTAAGTAGAATTCATATAAAATAAAAATAAACTGGATATATTATTCGTAGGTATCACAAATTGTCCTAGTTTACAGTGCAAACATGACAAAGTAGTGAAATTTCCTTCCATTTCAACTGCTGATATCTCCTTTTGTTGTTACCCCCCCTGGTGGGGATGGTCTTGGTGTAAGTCTCCCTCATACTGGAAGGTCTTGGGCTACACACTCCATTCCATAATAATGTTACCTTCTCTCTCACAGCCAGTGATCGCTAGTTGGTTTATTAATATAGATGTATACATCTCCAAATATCCAGTGGTGTTACTCTACCTCTACTAGAAAGCAGTTTCCAGACAAAGAGGAAGAGGAAACACATTTGCACTGTCAACCAATGAAGACAAGAAGACAAAAGGACACACAGTTCTTATAATTCCTCATTGTTACAAATAAAATAAATCAGCTAATTACAATTAATAAAATAATTTTGAACTTAAAATATTTGAATGCATGCAAAACCATAGTCACAAAAATTTTCAACTCATTAACAGTACACAGAAATCACAGAGAGAATGCCCCATCACAAAGTGACTCTTTTTTAAAACAATTTTCCAGTGCATTATGTATCCAAATTCAGGCCTCCACAGGACCATATACAACATTAAATGTGCCAATCAAAATCAACAATAGATTTTTGCACATGGTTCTAAACCTTTGTGGGCAGCCACCATCTTTAAAAATACTTACTTCATCAATTCTTCTTCAAACTGCTTCTTATCCTTCTCAGCCTTTTCCATTTTCTCAATTCGTGCTTGATGACGCCAGCGAAATAAGCTGGCTGTGTCAATATTGGGGTGAGTGTCATCCTCATCATCAGAGATCTTTAAAGGGAAAATAAAGAAAATGAGGGCTTTATCATTTTGGAAAACAAAGGAAATATACAAATGATCAATATTCATTAGAATACCAAAACAAGAGTCTTCAGTAGCATTGGCAAAAGTAAATGATTATCAAATATTTTATCATACCTATAAGTGATAAACTTATTAACAATATAAACATGAAAAACTATCAGTTCATGTAACTATGACATTGTGGATAGGATTTATCAAAATATTTTACACTCCTGATGAAATAGTAACAACAAAGACTGGTGGTTAGAAAAGCAAAGAAATTAAAGGTCATATTGTATTGGAGTCAAAGCTCTGTAAGCAAGTTTTCAGATATCATTATGCAACAACTTTAAAATTAGTGTGTTAAAGGTTAAATGAAATATATATATATATATATATATATTATATTAGAGATGTGTGGTTTAACTGAAAAACTGACTTTATATGGTTTCATCTTTACATTGTGAAACCAGATTGAAATTTTTATATCACTACTGAGTGACCATATCCAAAGAAACACTATTGATTATGCCATTGTAAGAGAAAAAGGCTGAACACAAATGTTAAAAAACATTTGACTAGTTTTAGGAAATAAATGTGAAATCTATTTGTTTACAAAAGAAATGAAGAAAAAAAAAAAGGAAATATGATATGATGTCTGAAATCTATTTGTTTTAGTTTCAAAAATTTTTTTGCAGTAAAATGAAGTTAACAAAATAAGGACTACAAAAAAAAAAAAAAAAAAAAAGTTGCCAGTTTCATCTTAATGTCAAATTTTATGAAGTTGGATTTTTTTGTAAGGGTCTTCTAGTAAGCCATTATTAAGCCAATCACAAAATAAAGTTGTTGTAAACAAGAAAAATGATTTTTTTTTTTATAAATAAATCGTTTTTTTTATCTAAGGTTAAGAATAATTAAAATAGTTCTTAATTTCACTTTTAAGATGTGTATATTTTCAGATATGTCAGTGACTGTTTTCTACAAATAAAATAATGTTTCTATCTAGTGAATACACGTAAAAATTAGATATTAAAAAAATACAGTAAATTTTATTCTCAGCTTTAAAATGTGTATATTTTCAAAACTGCAAGTCATTTTTGTAAAACCAAAGTAAAAATTATTCTTTTTTAACCATAGTGTTCAGTGGATGTTTGTTACTGTTCTGCCTATAAAATTATTTTTTTACAAATATCATTATAGTTTTATCTGGTGAATAAAACACTTAAAATGATTAAAATAGATTTTAATTTCATTTTTAAAACGTGTATCTAAAAAAGAACAGGTGATACTCACAGATTTGTAAATCTGTACCTTCTAAAAATGAAGTTAGAAAGCTTTTACGTATTTGCTATATAAAAACATAAATAACTCCTTGATTTTCATTGTCTAGAAGAAATTTATTTGCAAAAACCCCAGTAATAGTTGACTGGTGTACCAGAAACGAATTGCCGTTTTGTTTTGTTTTTTTTTTTTGCTTACTTCATAATTTTTCAAGGAATTTGCTTCCTCAGGTCAGAGTAGAAATGAACATCTTCCTGGTTGTAGTTTAAGTTGTCTTCTAATTCAGTGTACAATTTCAAGAATATTGATAAAGATAAATCACTTAAATTTTGCGAAACAAAGTAATGTGTAAAATTTAGTCTCAAAAGAAAAAATAAATAAAATCATTTCGCGTAATCAGCTGGTCAAAGCAATAACATTTTAACACTAAAAAAATAATTCAATGAATAAAAGCACATACAAATTACATATGTAAAAAGACTGTATAATTTTCTTTCATACCATATATTATTAAAATTGGAACAGAAGTACACAAGATATTGTGAATTGAATGGATTAAGTATTATCAATCTCAAACGAAATCAGATATCGACTACAAATGCTATTACACAAGAAAATGAATGGCTACCTTAGAAAGGAAAAATACTAAATGAAAAATCGAGTTGAAAACAATGGGATAAAGAAAAACAAAACTGGTAACCAATACTGAAACATAAATTGCCAAACCGACCAACACACAAACATTATATATATATATATATATATATATATATATATATATATATATATATATATATGAGATAGATAATATCAATGGAAAATAGACATACGTATGCAAAATATATAAATACCCATACATGTATATTTTCAGAAAAAAAAAATTCAAGAGGAAGAATCCAGGTAGAACTCAATGTCTAGGACAGAAATAAGGATATAATAAAAAGGCTTAAACACTAATATTCCATGGTCATAATTTATTCCATTGAAATCATAAATCGATCAATTCATCAGACCTACAAATTCAAAGGAAAACATAAAAACTACTCCAAAGTGAAAACAGAATTTAGAAAGTGTAAATATGAGGAGGGGAATTGAACCTATATATATATATATGTGGGGAAAATAGAAATGGCTTGCCTCCCAAACGCCCTCGCGTCTGTCACAGCCTGTGGGTTGAAAAGAAAAAAAAAGATCTAAGATGGCGTCCGTGACTTTTTAATATTCAGTCTCATGCAGTCACGCAAAGTTGCGTTACACACATGCTAATGAGGTGTGTCTGGGCTCCATAAAACAGGTCACTTGGAGAAGCTTTGTGTTGCAGCGTGTCAGACATTTTCAGACAGAAAGTTTCGTCCCTTACACTGTTGAAGTCGACTCCTTTGCTACAAGCTATTTTCCGCCATTATTACAACATGGACAGATTAGACTTGAAGTTGATACCAGGTTTGACGGCTCCCGGCTGGCCCATCTGTGGTGAGAGTGGTGGGAAAAGGCAGAGTGGGTCTGCCGGCTGTGTAAAATTAAAAGATCCCGCACTGGTCATCCCTCAGGGCTCACCAAAGGAGCTTCGCTGTGTATCAGCAGCTAAAGGATAGCGCAGACTTGGAGGAAATAAAACAAGCTCTCTATATGCAGCATTCGGTGCGGACCCCTTTATCGCCTGGGCAGTTCACGAAGAGCGGCTTGGGCCAGATAAAGCGGTAGATGTCTTTCTGGCGATTTGAGGAAGCTAGCCGTACCGTTTGGTGGAGCAAGTGACCAAATCCTAGGATGCGCCTTTCTGGCAGGACTCCCAGACAACGCCAGTCGACTGCTCGAAAGCATCGTCAAGGCTCAACAGGCTGGGGTTGGACGAGTTACTGGCCAGAGCCCGGAATATTCTAAAGGGCGGCGGGGCGGTCTCAGCAGCTGTGGAAGCACCCGCACCGCCAACTGAGGACATAAGGTGCTATAAATGTGGCGGACTGAACCACTTCTCCAAAGACTGCCGAAGCAGTGCAAAGAATACGCATAACCGAGGAACACGGAGACATATGCGTTGCTACAGGTGTGACAAGCTGGGCCACGTAGCAAGAAGCTGTCCGGGAAACGGGCAAGGGGAGTAAGCTACAGCGCCAGTCTTCTCCCCAGATCGCTGCTGAACAAGGCGCTACCCACAGTGAGCATGCGGATTAACGGGCAATAGGCCTGCAGTAGCCGTACAAGCCCTGGTCGTGGACGAAGGGCTGCTCGGCTATGATCTGCTCCTGGGAATGGATGTCATCAAAAAATTGGGTGGCGTCCATGTTGACGAAATGGGTCAACCACGTTTCACTGAAACTAGTCTTGCTCTAGTAGATGCAGCAATGAAGCTGGAACGGCCTGACTTTCGTGCGGAGTTTGACCAACGCACAAAGTCCTGGGCGGTATATCCTGAAATGGTCGGAAGATCAAACGCCAGAGAAGCTTTACAACAATGTGCGGAGTATAAAATCCCCCACGAGCTCGTGTGGAATGCGACAAGGAGTTGCGAGCCTGGATTAATAACGGATGGTTGGTTCCTTATCCAGAGAAGAATTGGGGCCCCAAAGGGCCTGATCCCGTAATGGCGGTTCTCCAGCACAACAAACAAAGGTGAGGCGGTGCTCGACTATCAGGAACTGAGCGAGCATGTGGACCCTTTTACAGCCCAGCGGACGTGTGTACCGAAGCTAATGGAATGGCGACAAGTGGGATCAAATGTATCTGTGCTGGATCTTCGCAAGGCATACCTTAAAGTGCGTGTGCACCAATCATTGTAGCCCTATCAAACTGTGCTTATCAAGGGGCAAAGGTATTGCCTGACCGCATGGGGTTTGGACTCAATGTGGCGCCATCGATTATGCAGATGATTGTTGGCGCCATTCTCTGAAGGATGGCGCATACAGCGGGCAACATCTGCATATACTGATGACATATGCGTGAGCGAGAGTCATATCTGCGGTGCGCATGAAGAACATCTCTACAACTTTGGTTCCTTGCTGATGAGGCCAGAGAGGCTACAGGATGGTGCTGCAGGTGCATGGTTTGTAGGTCTGGGAAAAGATTGATATCCGTATTAGGATATAATACATATACATACATACATATAAAATATATATATATATACATAATATACATAACATACATCAATACAATATATATATATATATATACATACATACATATATACATAATAATATATATATTTATATATATACATAATATATAATTTTATATATATATATTTTCTTTAATTTATATATGTATATATATATATAAAATATATATATATATATACATACAAAAACATATATTACATACATATACATTAT